AACAGTTAAGAAATAGTCAAAATAAAATAAAAATAAATAAAATAGTAGCTAAAAGGTAGCTATAAGCCCATACAACTGCAAATATTTAAGTAAGTAAATGTGAGCATTGTTTGTCCATGCAAAACTCAACGCTATAATGTTTTGCTTAGGTACTAGGTAGGGTTGCAAAAGGGCGGAAAATAATTGGGAAATTTCAAGAAAGATTCCAAAATTTTCCGCCTCTTTGCAAACCTTCTAAGACCTGATATTCTAGGATTTAGATCCAAGTCTATGGGTCCAATTGCACAATATGATGTATAATACATAAACTTAACTTGGCAACCACCATTAATTAACCAAAATACCTAATAAAAGAATACAAGCAGAACTTGGTGTTGAAATTCCGTGGAGTTTTCTGCAGAATTCAGTGGGTGCGGGTTTCTGGTCAGAGCCACTGATGACTAATGCTGAAGGATGTTGAGATAAATCTGTCAAATGGGACATATTGCATAACAAACCTCAATTTACATCCAAAATATGTGTTTAAACAATAAAGGGCAGCAAAAAATTTGACTCAAAAAGGCGAGGGATAAAAAAAGCAGCAGCAGTGCCAATCTTCCTCAGCAAATGGTGACTAACTGTGAGGGATGTTGAAGCACATCTCACAGATGGGACATATTGCATAATAAAACCAATAAAGTGTTTGTATGTTTATATTAGATTAGTCAGACTTGCTTTTGCTTTAGTCTCCTTATTGGATTATTAAGACAACTACTTTTTGATAATAGAGGAGACACAGCAGAGACTTTAGGAATTATTTCAAAAGTAAAGGAGATTGTAAAGCGTCTGTGAAGTCGATCTGTGTCGGCTTGCATGAGCTCCTTCACTATTAAGGTCTTGCCATGTAGCTTTGCCCTCATCAGAGGAGGATTCTGGGAAAGGAAATACTAATGACATCAAAACGGGTCTGTGAAAGCGACTTGCTCACATGCATGCCAGCCACAATGACTTCGGTTACATCAAATGTGTAATTTATACCTTACGAGAGAACTTAGGCTATCGCTGCAGGGCCCAGACAGAATCTGCATTTCATCTTAAGATATAGAATTCAACACCACCTTCATTCACGCCTTCAAAACCAGTTTTATCTGTTATAAAGGGATAAAAGAAAGCGAGAAACAGGTGAAAAAGTTATAGC